GGATTTGGTGGGCATTGACCTTGAGTTTTGGAATTGTAGTTCACCTACATCTAGACAGCACTGTGGACTCAAACAATGATGGATCTGGACCAAACAATCAGGGCCGCTAACACCTCCCAACAAGATTTCCCCAGGCAGAAAAGCAGCCAGGCTTTGAAGCTGCAAGGCCATTCAATGCTAATCAAGGTGGCCAACTGCAACATTCACACTTGCCTCAAACAGACAAGAGTTCTTTCTCCCACCCTGGACATTCCACAGATATATAAACCTCACTTGCCTAGTTTCCAACAGACCTCACAACCTCTGAGGATGCCTGCCATAGATGTGGGCGAAACGTCAGGAGAGAATGCTTCTGGAACATGGCCATACAGCCCGGCAAACTCACAGCAACCCAGATGACAGGAAGAAGGAAAGAAGAGAGTTTTTGCTGTTGTTATCAACCTCCAAGTCAATTCCTATTTATGGTGACCCTAAAGAGAACCTATTACAAATCTTTGCCATCTTCTGAGATTGAGAGAGTGTGACTTGTCTAAGGTCACCCAGGGAGTTTCTATGGCCAAACAAGGACTACAACCTACAGCAACACATGCAGTTCTTGTATTGAGGGAAATGGTAAGCTTTTGGTAGTTCCCCTCAAGAAGTGGCTCAACTCTGGGTTATCGGTTTTGGCTATTATGAGCTTCCTACCAAGGTCTACAGGCAGAGCTATCAGTAACTCAAGAACAGAAAATGGAATGTTGGTGGGCAGAAAAAGAGATTTAAAGATGGACTCAAAGCCAACCTTTAAAACTCTGGCATAGACACTGAGAACTGGGAAGCCCTGGCCCTTGAGTGCTCCAGCTAGAGGTCAGCTGTGACCAGCAGTGCTGTAGAATTTGAAGAGCCACGAATGGAGGGCGAAAGAGAGAAATGTGCCAAGAGGAAGGCATGTCAAGCCAACCATGACCAGGACGACCTTCCACCTGGAAACCAATGCACTCACTGAAGGAGAACATGCAGATCAAGAATAGGGCTCCACAGTCACCTATGTACCCACTATGCCAGTACACCGATCTTGGAAGACAATCCTACTTGGACAATGAGGGATCGCCTAACTAAGTAAGTAAGCACTAAAGGCAACACTTTGACATAATAAAAATAGAGATGATAACCTATGCATGTCAGGGAATACATTTCCCCCCGTGAGAGGTGACTTTTTTTTCTGTTAGGAGCGACTTGAGAAACTGCAAGTCACTTCAGGTGTGAGAGAATTAGCGGTCTGCAAGGACGTTGCCCAGAGGATGCCCTAATGTTTGATGTTTTACCATCCTTGTGGGAAGCTTCTCTCATGTCCCCACATGGGGAGCTGGAGCTGACAGAGGGAGCTCAACCATTCTCCCCAAATTCAAACCACTGACCTGTTGGTCAGCAGTTGTGCCACCAGGGTCTCATAGAGGTGACATGATTCAAAGGAAAGGAAATAATGAGCAACTCATAGAACCAGCAGTGGATGACCTTCCCTTTCTCTGCTCTGTCGACAAGCCACCTCCAGAGAAAATGATTCAACATTCCTCCTCCCTTAGCTAGACGAAGAGGGCAAACAAGGTATCTGCAAAAGAAACAGCTCACATTTCGAGGAAGACTAAAAGTCACAGAAGATTAATAACTCGATTTGGGCATATCTGTTTCTCCTTATGTGCCTTCAGATCGTTTCTAACATATGGTGGCCCTAAGGTGAACCTATCGCAGGGTTTCCTCACAAGATTTGTTCGTGGGAGGTTTGTTTTTGCCTTCTTCTAGGCCTGAGATAATATGGATTGCCCTATTTCATGGAAAATGTAGTATGATGAAGTGGTATTATGCTGTGTCTAGACATATAATAGGATGCTGGACATCTCCCAAGGTATCTGATTCCAAAACCAATGGACTCCAGCTGTCTTATTTTTCTATCAGAATATAGAACGCTGCAGATGATGTCAAAAATTCATAGGATCATAGAATCATAAATGGAAGAGACCTCGTGGGCCAACCCCATGCCAAGAAGCAGGAAAATCACATTCAAAGCACCCCTCTGTTTAAAATCCTCCAAAGAAGGCACCTCCACCATACTTTGAGGCAGAGAGTTCCACTGCTGAACAGCTCTCACAGTTAGGAAGTTCTTTCTCATGATCAGGTGGAATCTCGTTTCCTGTAGTTTGAAGCCATTGTTCCATGTCCTAGTCTCCAGGACAGCAGAAAACAAGCCTGCTCCCTGCTCCCTATGACTTTCCCTCACATCTTGATACATGGCCCTCATCATGTCTCCTCTCAGCCTTCTCTTCTGCAGGCTAAACATGCCCAGCTCTTTAAGCTGCTCCTCATAGGGCTTATTCTCCAGACCCTTTATCATTTTAGTCGCCCTCCTCTGGACACATTCCAGCTTGTCAACATCTCCCTTCAATTGTGTTGCCCAGAATTGGACACAGTATTCCAGGTGTGGTCTGACCAAGGCAGAATAGAGGGGTAGCATGACTTCTCCGGATCTAGACACTAGACTCCTATTTATGCTTCTAAATAAACCCTGGAAAAAATAACAATAATGGAAATAAACACAGCCTTCCATGTGGAACCATTCAATTCAATGCCAGCATTCATTTCTTTCTTTTTTATTACTTCGTTTTTTATTTTCTATTTACATATTCATAAAAATCAATGAAAGAAATCTATAGACGTGTGTGTATATATATATATACACACACCACACACACACATGAACCAATACAATACTACCTAACATCAATACAATATTCGTACTCGGTTATACTCTCTCCTCCTCCCACCTCTCCCATTTTGGTGACTTCATTTCTTTTAACTATTAACACAAGTTTAACACATACCATAAGTATTAAATTCATAGCCTGGGGGGACTTCAATACACTGAGTCAGAAGCATAGCTCAGACTGCGTAGTAATTCATATTATAGCTTAGAGATTATTTTCATATATCTTGCAAGGAATTTTTAAGCTTTGTATATAGTGAGTTGCAGGTTCAATCCCACAGAATTTCATATTGAGGACAACTGTTGGCAATCAAAATGGATACAATCCAAAGTGTTGGTATAATACTACTACTAATAATAATAACAACAACAACACTTTATTTATATTCTGCCCTTCTCCCCAAGGGGACTCAGAGAAGATTACAGTATATATAAACAGTATATATAAACAAATATTCAACGCCTTGTTACATGACATACAATGAAACCCAAATACATAGACAAAGGCAAAGGTTTCTCCTTTCATTTCCGGTTCTTGAGATGGTGCTCATCTCCGGTTCTAGAAGAGGTGGTCTTTCTCCATTTCCAAGCTGAGGATAGACACTTCCTCATTGTGTTGCCGCATGACAGCATGGTATCTTTTTGCCTTTTCCTGCCAAAGTGGTACCTATTGATCTACTCACGTTTGCATGTTTTCGAACTGGTAGGTTGGCAGGAGCTAGGGTTAACATTGGAAGCTCATCCTGTCCCGCAGATTCGAACTGCCAATCTTCAGGTCAGCAGTTCAGCAGAACAAGGGTTTAACCCATTGTACTACCATGGTAATGACCTATAAAGTCCTATGTGGCTTAGACCTAAACTATGTTAGTTTGAGATCCATAGGGAAGACTTTTCTTTTCATGTCAGGAGTGACTTGAGAAACTGGAAATCACTTCTGGTGTGAGAGAATTGGCTGTCTGCAAGGATTGTTGCCCAGGAGACACCCAGATGTTTGATGTTTACCATCCTTGTGGGAGGCTTCTCTCATGTTCCCCACATGGAGAGTTGGAGCTGACAGAGGGAGCTCAACCCACTCTCCCTGGATTTGAACCACTGACTTATTGGTCAGCAGTCCTGCCAGCACAAGGGTTTAACCCAGGGATCCTCAAACTAAGGCCTGGGGGCCGGATACGGCCCTCCAAGGTCATTTACCTGGCCCTCGCTCAGGGTCAACCTAAGTCTGATACAACATGAAAGCACACAACAACAACAATCCTATCTCATCAGCCAAAAGTAGGCCCACTTTTCCCATTGAAATACTAATAAGTTTATTTATTATTTATTTACAGTATTTATATTCCACCCTTCTCACCCTGCAGGGGACTCAGGGCAGATTACAATGTACATATACATGGCAAACATTCAATGTCATAGACACAACATATATAGACAGATACTCAGAGGCTATTTAACATTCCAGCTTCTGGCCACCAGGGGAGCTGTTGCTTCATCGTCCGTTTGTGACATTAATGAAGTACTTCCTCAATCTTTGCATACTTCCTGGAGATTTTTATGGCCTCGTAAATCAGTTAAATTATATTTCTTAAAAAATTTATTCATTTTAATGATTGTATTGTTTTTAAGTGTTTTTTGCACTACAAATAAGATATGTGCAGTGTGCCTAGGAATTCATTCATGGTTTTTTCAAATTATTATCCAGCCCTCCAACAGTTTGAGGGACTGTGACCTGGCCCTCTGTTTAAAAAGTTTATGGACCCCTGGTTTAACCCATTGGTCACCTCACTCTCATAAGCATACCTGATACATCTTGATACTTGAGGATCTTGTCTTATTCTTCAAAGCTACCCTTCTATGTCCATTATAATTAATGATTGAACCAAAGTATGGGAAGTCTTGAATTATTTCAATGTCTTCACCTATTTCCAAATTAAACCATGCTTTAAGCACCGAAACATCATTTCTCCCTTTCCAAATTCGGGAGCATGCAAAGGCTCAGTGGTGTGTTTGAGGCAGTCTGCATATGCTCAAAAGACTCCAAACTTCTGCTTATTCTCCCCTCCACCTTCATTCTGCTTTCTTTGTTTTTTCCAGGACTGTGCCACAAATATATTTCAGGCCATTAAAATATTGTACATAGACCAACGGCAGACAGAAAGTGTGTTGTCATCATTTCCCCCCTTTCTTCCCCGCTCCTTCCTGCATCAGTCACTTCACTGGCTGACAGTCTGCGTCATGGGCTGCATTTCTGCAAACCAGGAATGGGGAAGAGGATCCATCCCATTTGCTATCAGGGGTGTGGCCAGAGGGGGAACTTTTTTTAAAAAAAGGAATAAGCACCAGAGAGGTGAAAGCTAGCATTGCCATTTATCTGAAAGCAGAAACCAACCAGGACACCGAGACCGACTAGGAAATTTAGAAACACATCCATACGAGTTGCAGTTCTCATCCTGAGGATATGGATTTTTTCTTGATCAGCTTTGTCTTTCTTTTAACAGTGCCTCACAGTAAGTTTATTTTAACTTTATACATGATCTTCTGTGTTCGAGCTATTTAGGATTCTGTAGTGTGTCTACGAAAGGGATGCTGAAGACAAGCTTCCATAACTCGATGCCTTCCAGATGTAGTTTAGTCAACACATCTGGGGAAAGGATGCAAGTGTGTGGCCTTTCCAGTTGTAAAAGGAATGGGTTTTAATTGTTTGATCTTAATTTGAGATTCTGAGATCTCAGTCTTCCTAAATTCTGGAGAAGAGTGGGGATTCAGACTCAGTATGTGAGTGCCTATGGCACCGTTTGGGGGTCGGGACCCCAGAGGGGCTTGTGAGGATGTGGCAGAGGGGTCACCAAAGACTATCATACAACACAGTATTTGCTGTTGTTCATGGGGGTTCTGTGTGGAAACTTTGGACCAATTCTATTGTTGGTGGGTTCAGAATGCTCTTTGATTGTAAGTGAACTATACATCCGAGCAACTACAACTCCCAAATGTCAAGGTCTATTTCCCCCAAACTCCACCAGTGTTCACATTTGAGCATATTGAGTATTTATGCCAAGTTTGGTCAAGATCTATCATTATTCACAGTGCTGTCTGGATGTAGGTGAACTACAATTCCAAAACTCAAGGTCAATGCCCACCAAACCCTTACTGTATTTTTTGTTGGTCAAGGGAATTATGTGTGCCAAGTTTGTTTAAATCCATCATTGGTGGGATTCAGGATGCTCTTTGATTGTCAGTGAACAATAAATCCCAGCAACTACAACTCCCAAATGACAGAAACAGAATCAACCCCCCCCCCCCAACCCTACCAGTATTCAAATTTGGGTGTATTGGGTATTTGTGCCAAATTTGGTCCAGTGAATGAAGATACGTCCTGGACATCAGATATTTACATTATGATTCATAACGGTAGCAAAATTACAGTTATGAAGTAGCAATGAAAATAATGTTATGGTTGGGGGTCCCCACAGCATGAGGAACTGTATTAAGCATTAGGAAGGTAAAGGAAGGTAGAGAATCACTGCCTTAAGGGAAGTCAGGTGCTTTCCATCTCTCTCCTTCCTTTTCCCTCTTTCTCATTGATTGGTTGGCTTTATTTTTTGTTGGGATGAAGTCTGTCAAGGCTTAAATTTCTGTTATTTTCTCCCATTCTGTTAAAAAAAGTTGGTCTGTTGAAGAGAAAAATGGCATGCTGGTAAACACATGGGTCACTTTTAGCTAAATGATGTTCCATTTTGAATAATGAATTGAAACAGCGATGCATTGAGAAACTGATTCAGGGATAGGCAGCTCATGGACTTCCCAATGTTTTTGGATGGCAACTCTCAATCTCCCTGGCCAGCATGGATGACCGTGGGGATGATAGGAGTTGTAGTACAGGCAGAGCTGGAGAGGCAGAAGTCTCCCAATGTGATATTAGCTATTTTAGGAAGGATGTGGCAAAATGCTTGTGAACAAAACAATGCCTTCTTGGTCAAAGATGAAGAATCTCAGTGAGACACAACTGAAATGAACTCTAGGGCTTTTATTTGAAATCAGTTAATGTACATCAATTCCTGCTTAATCATTTATCAGCCCTTTTGGAAAGATCAATATGGCTAAATAAAGCTTCTGTCCCTTTCTTCTCCATGCTTCTTAGAGGTAATCTGCAGTTTGTAATTCCTTTTTGTAAATGTCATACACTTGATCACAGAAGGTTTGCGTGTGTTATATTATTATTATTATTATTATTATTATTATTATTGTTGTTGTTGTTGTTGTTGTTGTTATTATTATTATTGGGGATGCTTTGATTGTGCTTTTCCTGCATGGCAGAAGGGGGTTGGACTGGATGGCTCCTGTTGGTCTTCCACTGAAACACTGTTAAAATTATGTTGGTCAAAATATTTGCTCATGCCTTTTTTAAAATCATGTTGGAAGCAACTTGAGGAACTGCAAGTCGCTTCTGGTGTGAGAGAATTGGTTGTCTGCAAAGACGTTGTCCAGGGGACACCCAGATGTGTTGGCATCCTGTGGGAGGCTTCTCTCACGTCTCCACATGGGAAGCTGGAGCTGATAGATGGGAACTCACCCTGTCTCTTTGCCTTTTCCTGCCAAAGTGGTACCTATTTATCTACTCACATTTTCATGTTTTTGACATGCTACGTTGGCAGGAGCTAGGGTTAACAGTGGAAGCTCATCCCGTCCCACGGATTCAAACCACCAACCTTCAGGTCAGCAGTTTAGCTGGCACAAGGGTTTAACCCATTGCACCACTGCTGCCTGATACATATACTATATAGATAGATAGATAGATAGATAGATAGATAGATAGATAGATAGATAGATAGATAGATATCCCTCCACAAAGTTCCTCTTGTGTGGAGATTTTAATGCTAGAATTGGAGTGGGTGTGAAGGAAGTGAAAGGCACTAACTCTGTACAAGATTGTCAGGTTACATCTGCTGACAAGTCTTCTCAAGTCACACTGTAATCAGAAACAAATCTGGTTTGAGTTTCTTAGAGGTCCTCTCTTTGCATTAATTGCACTGCCTCAATGGAGCCCGACATGACATAACGCAAGGTGTCCATACTTATGTCACCAACAGGAGAGCTAGTACTATTGATTATATGGCAGTTTCTATATAAATAAAAAGATAATGTTAGTTCGTGGGATTAACATAACTCAAAAACCACTGGACAAATTGACACCAAATTTGGACACAATACACCTATCAGGCCTACAAGTGACCATCACTCATACAAACACTGAAAAACACAGTGGAAGGGACTTAAAAGCCAAAAAAGCAAAAAGACTTTACAGCACATGGGCAAAAACAACTCCCCCAGCAATCAAAACACACAATAGCATATACACACTCTCTTCTAGACTACAACTCCCAGCATCCCCTAGACCAGGCCCTTTAGGAGAAGAGGATGATCCAAATGCACTGCTTCCAAAATGCAAGCATTCTTCTTGGATTTCTTTAAGAGCATCCCAATCCCTGCATATTTCCAATTTCCTATAGCAACTCCCAGCCATCCTCCAGATAGATACATTAGATAGAGATAGATAAGTGGGTAGATCGATCGATCAGAAGGACTGCTGGGTGTTGCAGTCCAAGAATAGGTAGGGAAGGAAGAATGGGGAGAAAATGGAAGGGAAGGAAGGAAGGGAAGAGGGAGAGAAGGAAGAAAGGAGAGAAGGAAAGAAAAAAAGGGAAGGAAGGAGAGAAAGAAAGGAGGAGAGAAAGAGGGAAGGAAGGTTAGTCGCAGCAACGCTTGGCAGGTACAGCTAGTATATAATATAATATAGAAACATTTCTTGGGGCCCCATGAGAAACTTATGCTTCAAAAAGATCTCCATGGCTGAAAGAGTTTGAAAACCCCTAATTTGGATTAAACCAGTCTAGGTACAAGCACAGATTGCATATTTTGCAAATACAGAAGGTACTAGTTACCAAAATACGAAAGCAAAAATATGGGGAGATAGTTCCTCAATACATTCAGGACGTAAACATAAAGCTCTCTAATCTACTTCCTCCAGCTGCCATGCCTAATAGACTCAACTGGATGCTTCAGAATCAACTATAGCATGTTACAAAAAAAGGAAGTAACAACTATTGAAGATGAAATAGTCTCATGAAGATCACATGTATCAGCCCTATTCGCATAGGAAAAGAACAAAATTATTTTCTTCTGTGGCGCAGCTGGCTGGGAGTCAGCTGCATTAAGATCACTACTGACCAAAAGGTCATGAGTTTGAAGCCAGCCCGGGTCGGTGTGAGCTTCCGGCCAATTTGTGTAGCTTGTTGTCAACCTTTGCAACCCGAAAGACAGTTGCATCTGTCAAGTAGGAAAATTAGGTATCACTTATGGGGGGGGGGGGGGCTAAGTTAACTAATTTATGAAGTCATAAAAATCTCCAGCAAAAGCATGCAGGGAATGAGAAAGTACTTCATCAGTGTCACAGATGGCCAGAAAAAGTTGGAATGTTAAATAGCCTCTGACTGTCTGTCTATATGTGTTGTGTGTCTATGGTATTGAATGTTTATAATGTATACGTACATTGTAATCCACCCTGAGTCCCCTGCGGGGTGAGAATAAATAAATAAATAAATAAATAAATAAATAAATAAATAAATAAATAAATAAATAAATAAAATTTGCCAAAATTCCCTGGTTGCCATGACAGTAGAACTCTGGGAGCTGTAGTCTAACCAATTTTTCCAAGCACTAGTGAGGTATTGAGTGGAGAAGCAAATACTTCTATCAGGGTTTTGTTTGCTAAGTAGTTGGAGAATTTGTAAAGTATAGGTGTAGATTCCCCCCCCCCCCCCAGAAGAAAAGAGCACCAAGGCTCACATTGATGGAAAAATGACTTCCCTGGATTTACTCATAATTCCTGTTCTGAGCAATCACTCTTTCCTTGTCTCATCTTAGAGGTGGCCATCTGAACAGGTAGTGAGTAAGTTCAGGATGTGACTCTTTCACAGGTCTCCCATTTGCAGATTGAGGGGAGAAAGTTGCTGAGATTTGATGTGAGTCAGACTTTTACCATGCTTGTTAGTTTAACATTCATACGATAAATATAGAAACAACGAGCCAGCTAAAACACTGGTTTCCTTTCTAATTTTTGCTGGTTGGAGATTTTAGGATGAAAACTCAAAAAAAAATGTACAACCAAGAAGAAGAAAAAGTACTCATATCCTCCATTCAGCTTGGCTGTTGGCCATGATGGTTAAGGACTCTGAGGACCATTTCATACAGCCATATAACCCAGAATATCAAGGTAGAAAATCCCACAATATCTGCTTTGAACTGGGTTATTGGAGTCCACACTGCCATATATTCCAGTTCAAAGCAGAAAATGTGGGATTTTATTCAGATGTGTGGAAGGAAGCTTGGAATTATAGTACAAAAGGAAACTTTTCCAATGTCTGTATAGGAGCCATATTACAAGCATACCACTTGCTTTGTGATGTTTCCTAGTTTGGCTTATCAATCAGATTAAAGTCATGCTTTTTGTGTGAGAACGCCTTCAGTGAGGAGCATTATCATACTTGATCAGAGTACAAAATAAGCAGAGATTTATATCTCTCGTTCTTTTTTGTGCCTTCTAATAATAATCTATATAAATAAAAATGTAATGTTAGTTTGTGGGATTAACATAACTCAAAACCACTGGACAAATTGACACGAAATTTGGACACAAGACACCTATCAGGCCGAGTGCTCATCACTCATAAAAGCACTAAAAAACACAGCGGAAGAGACTTAAAAAGCCAAAAACAAAAAAATACATTACAACACACGCGCAAAATCACATATATATACACAAACACACATATATGCATATACACACAAAAAACACATACACAGAAAGGAGGAAGGAAGGAGAGAAGGAGGGAGGGAAGTAAATAAAGAAGGAAAGAAAGAAGGGTAGAGGAGGAAGGAAGGAGAGAAGGAGAGAGAGGGAGGGAGAGAAAGAGGGAAGGAGAGAAGGAAGGAAAGAAAGAAAGAGGGAAGAAGGAAGAGAGAAGAGGGAAAGAAGGAGGGAAGGGAGAAGAAAGAAGGCAAGAAAGAAGGGTAGAGAAGGAAGGAAAGGAGAAGGGAGGAGAGAAAAAGGGGGAGAAAGAGGGAAAGAAGGAAAGAAGAAAAGAAGGAAAGAAAGAAGGGTAGAGAAGGAAGGAGAGAAGGAGGGAGAAAAAGAGGAGAAAGAGAGAAAGAAGGAGAGAAGGAAGGAAAGAAAGAAAGGTAGAGAAGGAAGGAAGGAGAGAAAGAGGGAGAGAAAGAAGGGAAAGAAGGAGGGAAGGAGAGAAAGAAAGAAGGAAAGAAAGAAGGGTAGAGACAGAAGGAAGGAGAGAAGGAGGGAGAGAATGAAATAAAAAAGTGAAAGAGGGAAGGAAGGAGGGAAGGAAAGAAAGAGAAAGAGGGAGGGCAGGAAGGAAGGAAAGAGACAAGGAAGCATGGAACCAAAGAGCAAAGGAAGTGAGAAAAGAAACAGGTAAAGAAGAAAGAAGGGAAAGAAAAAGAGGGAAGGAAGGAAAGAGAGAGGGAAGGAAGGAAGGAGAGAGAGAAAGAAGGAGAGAAAAAGGGAGGGAAGGTTGGCCACAGCAACATGTGGCGGGTACAGCTAGTCTAATCATAATTTAATCTTTGGCAATACTAAGGTAAAACAATCACAGGGTTTTCTTGGCATGATTGGTTCAAAAAAAGGTGTGCCTTTGCCTTTCTCTGAGGCTGAGAGAGAGTGATGTGTGAAGATCACCCTAGCAGGGACTTTTGTGCTGGCCTCTAGAATCCTAGTCTAGTGCTCAAACCAGTATACCACTGTTTTTCAACCTACCTAATGTTGCGACCCTTTGATATAGTCCCTCATGTTGTGGTGACTCCCAATATACCATTATTTTCATTGCTACTTCATAACTGTAATTTTGTTACTGTTATGAATCATAATGTAAATATATCATATGCAGAATGTATTTTCATTCACTGGAGCAAATTTGGCTCAAATACCCGGTTCGCCCAAATTTGAATACTTGGTGGGGTTGGAGGGGATCGATTTTGTCATTTGGGAGTTGTAGTTGTAGTATAATTTTGGGGTTTATAGTTTACCTACAATCAGAGAACCTTCTGAATTCCACCACCGATGGAACTGAACCTAACTTGGCACACAGAACTCTCATGACCAACAGAAAATACAGGATTGGTTTGGTTATTGATCTTGACTTTTGGAGTTGTAGTTCACCTAGATCCAGATGGCACCGTGGGCTCAAACAATGATAGATCTTAACTAAACTTGGCACGAATATGCAATATGCCAAAATGTGAACACTGGTAGAGTTTTGGGGAAATAGATCTTGACATTTGGGAGTTGCAGTTGCAGGGATTTATAGTTCACCTACAATCAAAGAGCTTTCTGAACTCCAGCAATGATGGAATTGAACCAAACTTGGCACACAGAACTCCCATGACCAACAGAAAATACTGGAAGGGTTTGGTGGGCATTGACCTTGAGTTTTGAAGTTGAAGTTCACCTATATCCAGAGAGCACTGTGGACTCAAACAATGATGGATCTGAACCAAACTTGGTATGAATACTCATTATGCCCAAATGTGAACACTGGTGGAGTTTGGGGCAAATAGACTTTGACATTTGGGAGTTGTAGTTTCTGGGATTTATAGTTCACCTACAATCAAAGAGCATTCTGAACCAACAATAGAATTGGGCCAAACTTTCCACATGCAAGACCAACAGAAAAAAAACTGTCTTTTCTAATGGTCTTTGACGACTACCCTGACACCCCAGTTTGAAAACGCTGCACTACACGATGCTGGTTCTTAGGCTCCTTTCTACACTGTCATATAAAATCCAGATTATCTGCTTTGAATTTGATTATGTGGCAATGTAGATTCATATAATCCATTCAAAAGGGATAATCTGGATTATCTGCTTTGGTAATCTGGATTATAAAGCAGTGTAGAAGGGGCCGAATGAATGTAACATATGACAACCCTTCCACAATACCTATATCTACTTGTATGTTATTCTCCCTCTTAACATGAAGTCATGAAACAGTAACTTGTCTAAACCCTGGAAATGCCCATGATATGATTCAACATCATTGTGTCTGTTGCATAGAATGTGCATTTCCACATAGCCCCCTGAAAAGGAAATACATCAGCAAGAATGAAAAGAGGATGCCAAGTTGCATAAAACTGGCATGTCCTAATGTACATGTAGATATGCACATTTAGAAACCATCACTATCCTTCAAATCAGGAGTAAATAACTGAAGCAAGCCAAGGGACCAGTTTTCTACTCCTGGATTCCTACAAAGGCCATATTGGTTGCCAGAAGTATAAAGAATGAACAAACATGCTCAGTCCATTAAATGGTTAGAAGTTCCTTTCTATTTTAAAAATTGGATTGGATAGATAGATAGATAGATAGATAGATAGATAGATAGATAGGGAGGCCCTGTTCTCAGTCCCACCTCCTTTGCAGGCACAACTGGTGGGGACGAGAGACAGGGCCTTCTCAGTTGTGGCCCCTCATCTATGGAACTCACTCCCCATTTATATATGATCAGCTCCTTCCCTCCTAGCCTTTAGAAAGAAAGTTAAAACATGGCTATGGGACTAAAGTTTTGGAGAGTAAATGCAGTGAAAAATAAAAGAAATGAATGTAGAATCTGTGCAATGATCACTGGAATGACTCTAGACTACGATCCTGGATGGTATGATTTTAATAACTGATGTACTTGTTTAGATGTTTTAAATTTTGGCTTTAACGTTATTGTTTATTTAATTGTATACTGTTTTTATGACATTTAATTAGTGCCAATGTGTAAGGTGGCTCTTAGTCCCCTTCAGTTTTGAGAAGGGCAGGATACAAATGTGGTAGGTGGTAGGTAGGTAGGTAGGTAGGTAGGTAGGTAGATAGATAGATAATTGCTTCTCACAGGCTGGATCTACACAACCATATAATTCTGTTTCTCAATCCAGATTATCTGCTTTAAACTGCTTTGATGCCCCATTTACATTGCCACACAAAATGCAGATTGTTTGCTTTGAACTGGATTATATAGCAGTATAGACACATATAGTCAATTTTTAAAGCAGATAATGTGAAGATCCAGCCCCCATCTACACTGCTATATAATCCAGATTAATATAAAATAATCTGGATTCAGAAACTGGATTATATCAGTGTAAATATGGCCACAGATAAGGACTCAGGCCCCTTCCACGCAGCTGTATAAAATCCACATTGAACTGGATTATATACAGTGTGGACTCAGATAATCCACAATATCCACTTTGAACTGGATTATTAATCCTACTTGGTAATGGATTCTTTTCCCAATGTCTCCTTACAGTTTCTGGCCTCCAGTGCTATTCTTGCGACGGAGATACAGACTGCGTGGAAACAGAGATCTGTGAAGAGCATCAAGAACAATGCAGCACTACCATCATGACTGTATTATCCCGTGAGTTTGGAAAGAGGCCATGGCAACGTAATGGGATTGGCAGGGGAGGGGGAATGGATTTGGTAGGTCCTGTCTACATTTGAGAGCTTATAGAAGTTTGGAAAAAGTGTTCTATCCGGACTTTACCCCCTTATTATAAAACTTAAGTTACCACAATAAATTACCATGAAGAAAACATAGGAAAGACCAGAATTTGTGGTGTTATTTATTTATTTATCATGTCAGAAGCAAGTTGAGGGTACAGTTAAAATGCATTTAAAAACCCAGGAGGGAGTTTCTCATCTAATTGCAGCCACTGATTGAGGTGCTGGGTTTTAGCCCGCCACTTTTGGACTCTCGCTTGCTGAGATGTACTTGCGAGTATCTCTGTAGCTCAGTGGTTTTCAGCCTGTGGGTTCCCAGGTATTTTGGCTTACAACTCCCAGAAATCCCAGTCACTGAGAAGGCCCTCTCTCTTGTCCCCACCAACCGTACTTGTGACAGTGGTGTAAGCGAAAGGAGGGTCTCTCCGGAAGATCTTAGAGTTTGCGCCAGTTCATGGAAGGAGATGCGATCGAGGAGATACCACCAAAGCAGTACCTATTGATCTACTCACATTTGCATGTTTTCGAACTGCTAGGTTGGCAGAAGCTGTGGCTAACAGCAGGAGCTCACCCCACTCCCCATATTCGAACCACCAAACTTTTGGTCAGCAAGTTCAGCAGCTCAGTGGTTTTAACCTGCAGCGCCACCAAGGGGCCCCTTTCTATGTCTTATAAGAGCCAATTTTACTGTTTTGCATCTACATTTGTGTGTTGTGCTACTATCATTGTGTGTTCAAGAATTTTACACCTGCCTTTCTTTTAACTTCTTCTTGCTTCTGTCTGCAGGACCAAAAATCTCCACCTACTTCCTGAAGGGCTGTGACGTGAGTGGGAAGCCAAACAATTCAATTTCTCATTTGTCCGGCAACCAAGCCGTATTTCTGACCGAGGAATACTGCGACACCGAGCTTTGCAATGCGAGATCACCAAATGGTTAGTCTATAGCAAGGCTCACTGTTTGCCCAAGTTATAGCATAAAGCTGAGATTTCACACTGGAAATAAACCTGATATATTTTTTTCAAAATAGTAGAAATTGCATGTGAAATTTTGTGCTGCTACATATCCTGCACTGCTTTTTTTAAAAAGGCAAATCAAGGACTCCTAGAACAAATCAAACTTGAAGATAACTGTACAAGGCTGTTGTATATTGGCCATATCATGAAAAAACATGATTCAGTAGAAAAGACAATAATGTTTGGTAAAGTCAAAGGCAGTACTTACTTAGGCGATCCCTTGTTGGACGAGTAGGATAGTCTTCCAGGATCAGTATTCTTGTGCATCCGCAGGTGACGGTGGAGCCCTATTCTTGACCTGCATCTTCTTCCACAGTGAGGGCATTGGTTTCCAGGTGGAAGGCTTGACGGGGTTGGCTTGACGCGCCTTCCTCTTGGCATATTTCTTTTTTCCCCTCCATTCGTGCCTCTTCAAATTCTGCAGCACTGCTGGTCACAGCTGACCTCCAGCTGGAGCGCTCAAGGGCCAGGGCTTCCCAGTTCTCAGTGTCTATGCCAGAGTTTTAAAGATTGGCTTTGAGCCCATCTTTAAATCTCTTTTCCTGTCCACCAGCATTCCGTTTTCCGTTCTTGAGTTCAGAGTAGAGCAACTGCTTTGGGAGACGGTGGTTGGGCATCTGGACAACGTGGCCGGTCCAGCGGAGTTGATGGCGGAGGACCATCTTCAATGCTGGTGGTCTTTGCTTCTTCCAGCACGCTGACATTTGTCCGCCTGTCTTCCCAAGAGATTTGCAGGATTTTCCAGAGGCAGCGCTGGTGGAATCATTCCAGGAGTTGCATGTGACGTCTGTAGACAGTCCACGTTTCGCAGGCATATAGCAGGGTTGGGAGGAAAATAGCTTTATAAACAGAAAAATTTGTTTCTAAAATCGATTCGTTTTTGGGGGTTTTTGCGTTTCGTTATTTAAAATAATTACAAAATTTTCCTTTTAAAAAGTTCGATATTTACGAAATTTCGTAAATGTGAAAAAAATTACAAAACATTAACGAATCGATTTCCGAAACAATAACGAATCGATTCGTTAATGGCGGACGCGACCGCGAAATACGCTAAAAAAACCTCCAAAAACTTCTGAAGCTTCCCTCTCCCTCTGTTGTTGACTGTTGGTGTGATATTATAATTTTTTTTCACTAATTAAACAAAAAACAAATTGCCCCAGACATGCGGAAATAATAACGAAACGACCTCAAAACAATAACGAAACGAATACAATAACGAAATACGAAGCATTTACAAAACTATTTAAAAATTCATTTTTAAAAAAATTGCTCCAGAATGGTTCGTTATCGTTTTGTAATTAAAAAAATTAACGAATTATTAACGAATTACGAATTAACTAAACGAAACCGCCCAGCCCTAAGGACAATAGCTTTATAAACAAGCACCTTGGTATCCCTACGGATGTCCTCAAACACTCTCTGCTTCATTTGGAAAAATGCTGCACTCGCAGAGCTCAGTAGGCAAAGAGAGAAGCAGCATTACAGATGGATAGACTCAGACCCCTTATACACCACCATATAATCCATATTATCAAAGCAGGTAATCCACATAATTTGCTTTGAACTGGATTATTTGAGTCTATACTGCCAGATAATCCTGTTCAAAACAGATAATCTGGATTTTATTTGGCAGTGTAGAAAGGGCCTTGATTAGTCCTGAGTCTGCAAAATTTCTGCTCTAGAGTATTGTTTCTATCCATAGTCATATATATGCAGATTACTTTACAAAACCCATGACTTATTTCATCCATTAGAAAAAAATTAAATGACAACACACATTTTTCCCTTCCTTTGCAGTAGTGGATGTTCTCATAGCTCGAGGTCGTCAGAGAAACATCATGGAATGCTATTCCTGTACCACAGCAGATAAGACCTGTTACAACTCCAGACTGGAATTAATGAAGTGTGCCCGGCTTGAGGAAGACTGTGTGGACATCACATCTTTTACTACAGGTGATCTTGTGCAGACATGGTCAACCATCTGCCTTTCTTCCTCACTGTAGTTTAACTGCCACTGCTGTGGCCTCGAAAGGTAGCTAAAGCTATGCTTGGTTCAAGGCATCAAGTGTTGATGCCTTCACATGAGACCCCTGTATTGTAGTGTTTCCTCAACTCTTGTCCTCTTGGTGTTTGGGACTTCATCTCCTAGAATCCCTGACAATTGGTCCAGGCAGCTGAGGCGTCTGGGAATTGAAGTCCAAAACATCTGGAGGCATAGACACCAGAGTCCATGGGTCATTCTCTGACTTGTGTCATCAGGAACTTGTGCTTCTGGTCCTGTAATATCATCACCAGTCTGAAATTAGTGATCAGGCTTGTTTCAAAGGACTTTGGGAGTTCTGGACATTTCCATGCAGTAGCTGCAGCAAGACTGAGAGAGGCATGATAACACTTGACATCAAGGGAACTGAACCAGAATTGAGAGGAAGATTTGATTGCGTCCAAAACTGGCAGGGATGAGGGACAGGGCCTTCTCAGTGGTGGCCCTCAACCTGTGAAATTTCAACTAGTCCAAGGGGCGGCAGCTAGACTACTCACTGGAGCATCATACAGAGAGCATACCACCCCTCCACTGGCTGCCGGTCCAATTCCGAGCACAATTCAAAATGCTGTTTTTGACCTATAAAGCCCTATACGGCTATGGCCCAGCTTACCTATCCAAACATCTCTCTCTCTACGTCCCACCTCGAAGTTTAAGATCTTCCGGGGAGGCCATGCTCTCGTCCCCGTCTTTGGTGCAAACATGCCTGGTGGGGACGAGGGACAGGGCCTTCTCAGTGGTGGCCCTCTGCCTGTGGATCTCGCTCCCTAGTGAAATCAGGTCAACAACATCCCTCCTCGCCTTCAGGAGGAAATTGAAAACGTGGTTATGGGACCAGGCCTTTGGGTAGCTGGCAGATAATTGCCAATGGTAATGATGACGATGTTATGGAAAATGAACTATGGACAGGTTTCTGATTGTGTTGTGCTCGCTGAATTTGTTTCTACATAAGGCTAGACAGGCAGTATTGCACTTTTCATTTATGTACTTTTCATTTTAAAACTAATTTTAAAATTAATTTACTGTGTTCTTATATGTAATTACTGTATGTATTATTTATATGTAATGGCTTTGAATTGTGCCGGATGTAAGTCTCTCCCCGGGAGGTTGAGAAAGGAGGGTTACAAATGTTTGAAGTAAATAAATAAATAAATAAATAAATAAATAAATAAATAGACTTTGGGACTCAGTGCTGTGTTACATTGAGCTTAGCATTGGCACTCTCTAGAGGCCAAAGACTGTAATCACTCTCCTTGCCTTCTCTGCTGATAGAGTTTCCTGCGGGTGAACAGCGCATCAAGGGCTGCGGTCAACTTTCCCACTGCCAAGATTCAGAGCCACTGGGGTTCCACAACCAGAACAGTTTCCACCTTATAAAGTGCTGCAACTCCAGCCGGTGCAACAGTGATATGCAAGGTAAAGTAATCAGATGGTGGTTCGGATTTTAGAGTAAGTCTCATTGCAAGTTCTGGGTTTTAAAAAACTGAAGCCAAATGCAAAGATGGAAGGGTTACAACTATATCTACAATGCATGAAAGTAGCAATTTGGTATTTGAATCTTGAAATTTGTACTTTTCTGCTGGAGAGGTCTCGTTTCTATCTATAGAGAACTCTGAGTACCTAATCAAAACAACAGTTCACAGGATTTTGTAGGATACAGACATGGCATCATAGTGCTGAAACTGTGTAGTGCAAATGTGTTTTCAATTACTTTAAAACTGGGGAAACTAGCCTTAAAGTAGAGGAAAAAGAGCAGAAGCAGTGAGCTTCCCACATATGCAAGTTAGACATTTGTAAATTTCATTTTTCCTGAATATGTTTTCTCTTGGAATCTCTAGGTCCTCCGGTGTAATTCTGTGACCAATTTCAGATGGAAGTTGACCACAGAGTAATCCTAGAGGCCCTAGGAACTCATTATATTGGTCACCGGAATCACCACAGATCATGTCAAATCCAGCGGTGCCCATCACCCCATGTCCACACATCACCCAAAGGTTGTGAGCCACTTTGGGTCCCATTTAGGGAGAAAAGCGGGATATAGATAAAGATTTATTATTATTATTATTATTATTATTAGAAACACAACAAGATGAGTCCACAGCAGACAAGATCACTCTGCTGGCTGTATTGTGTGTTTTGTGTAGCCATTGAATGCATGCTATTGCTATGTTGGAATCCACCCTGAGTCCCCTCGGGGAGATAGGGCAGAATACAAATAAAGTTCATTATTATTATTATTATTATTATTATTATTATTATTATTATTATTAGAAACACAACAAGATGAGTCCTCAGCAAAAAAGATCACTATGCTGGCTGTTGTATTGGATCACACGTTGGACACTTCCCAAGTGTCTAGGACTGTGTGATGTATCGGCGAATAATGCGTGCAGATCCCAGTAAGGTGGCCTTCTGATAATTTTCTCAGCACTGATTGTGTTTAAGTGCAGGCCAAGGTCTTTAGGCACTGCACCCAGTGTGCCGATCACCACTGGGACCACCTTTACTGGCTTGTGCCAGAGTCTTTGCAGTTTGATCTTTAAATCCTCATATAATGTCAGCTTTTCCAGTTGTTTCTCTTCAGTGTCTCCTGGGATTGCAACATCGACAATCCATACCTCGTTTTCTAACACAATCGTGAGGTCAGGAGTATTCTGCTCCAAAACTCTGTCTCTCTGAATCTGTATTTTTGTCAGCGCCAATTGTGTTTAAGTGCAGGCCAGGATCTTTAGGCACTGCACACAGAGTGCCGATCACCACTGGGACCACCTTTACTGGCTTGTGCCAAAGCCTTTGCAGTTCAATCTTTAAATCCTCATATCGTATCATCTTTTCCAGTTGTTTCTCTTCAATCCTGCTATTGCTTGGGATTGCCACATCGATAATCCATACTATTATTATTATTATTATTATTATTATTATTGCCAGAAACCTCATCCCAAAGTGGGAAGTGTCGGCCGCCCAGCTTCCCCCCATTTTTGCCAATGCAACATCAGAAGCCTCCCTTGTTGCTGCTAATTCGATGGTATTTTAGCCATGGAGCACAGCCAGAAGTAGCTGCACATTGTGGGGTGGGCTATGTGGCTGAACTACAGTTGAACCAGTGTATGCTGCCAAAAATAGCCCCATCTGATGAAGTCGCTAGAGATCCCTAGAGATATGTTCTGTCAGCAATTTTTAACTTTCACTGGGGTCTTTTTGTCCTTCTCTCCAGCAAATATATAATTTCAATCATTTGAATATGGATTCATAGTGTTCAATCTTCCCCCTGCAGACTACAAGGATGCCCCACTGCCCCTGAATGGAGTGACATGCTTCAGTTGCGAGGGGAATGCCACCCACGGTTGCTCCCCGGATGCTGTCTCCAAGATACAATGCCAGGGTCCCATGACCCAGTGTTTAGAAGCATCTGGAATCCATGGTAAATATTTCTGTGAACAGTTGTGAAAGCTGGATAATGAAGAAAGTTAACTGAAAGAGAATCAACTCATTTGAACTGTGGTGCTGGAGAATATACAATATTGCATATATAATGTACAAATCTAGCTTGAACTCCCTAAACGGAAGCTATTGTACTTCGGACAGATTATGAGACAACAGAAGTTACTAGAAAAAAATCATAATGTTTGCTAAGGCAGAAAGCAGTAGGAAAGGAGGTAGATAGATGCCATAGACTTGAGTTTGCAAGTCCTTAGCAGCACTATTGATAAGAAGCCAGTGCTTCTCAAACTTCCTAATGACATAACCCCTTAATACAGTTCCTCATGTTGTCGTGACCCTCAACCATAACATTATTTTCGTTGTGACTTCACAACTGTAATTTTGCTACTGTTTTGAATTGTAATGTAAATATCTCTTGTGCAGGATATATTTACATTCACTGGACCAAATTTGGCACAAACACCTGGGGGGCAGGTTGATTTTGTCATTTGGGAGTAGTAGTTGCAGGGATTTATAGTTATCCTACAACCAAGGAGCATTCTGAACTTCACCATTGATGGAATTGAGCCAAACTTGGCACACAGAACTCCCATGACCAACAAAAAATGCTGGAAGGGTTTGATGGGCATTGACCCTGAATTTTGGAGTTGTAGTTCACCTACATCGAAAGACCACTGTGGACTCAAACAATGATGGATCTGGACCAAACTTGGCATGAATACTCAATATGCCCAAATGTGAAAACTGGTGGAGTTTGGGGAAAATAGACCTTGACATTTTGGAGTTGTAGTTGCTGGGATTTATAGTTCCCCTACAATCAAAAAACATTCTGAACCCCACCAATGATAGAATTGGGCCAAGTTTCCCACACAGAACTCCCATGACCAATAGAAAATACTGCTTTTTGGTGGTCTTTGGCAACCCCTCTGACACCTCCTCACAATCCCACCATTGGAAACCGACCCCCAGGTTGAGAAACACTGCTTTAAGCAATAGAAAGAAGAATCTAAATAAACGTTAAACTGGCAGTAAAACCTGGGTGCTTGTTGAAAAGACTACTGTAGAAGGTGCTGGATTCCTCTTTGTTAGAGATGTTTATACAATGGTTGGATGGGGACCTGTCAGGAATTCTCTAGCAGTGGATTCATCCATTGGCTGAATGTTAAACTTGATGTCCCTTGGCATGTCACAGTTCTCTTGAAGATTCTGAACATACTTTTGAGACAGTCAACATTATGGACTACTACTTTAAAGTTCAGCCTAAGTCTCAAAAGAGATTCAGTCCTCCTTTCTCTGGACATGTCAGTTACCAGCAACCACTGTCTGTATGGTCTTGAAGGGGGACCCAGACCATCTAAGATATTTGCAAAGGAGTACTTCATTCCAAAAAAATGGTCCTCCAGCTGTACTAGGCATTAGTTCACAAAATTCCTGACTATTGGTCAATCTGGCTGTTGCTTGTAAGAGCTAAAGTCCAAAACATCTAGAAAATCAAAGTTTGGGAACTATTGGGCTGAGAACGTTATCTTTATATCTCCTTCTCAAGTTCTATAACTGTTTTTCCCTTTTCCAGGCATCTCAGGAGAGAACTCAGTTGTCAAAGGTTGTGCATCCCCATCTTGGTGTGAGAGTCCTTACACTACTGTCCACAAGAACTTGGGTGCCATACACAGCCGCTGCTGCTCTGGTAACCTCTGCAATAACTGGATCATTAATGGGACACTGAAGCCATCACCAAGGAGCCAAGCTACACACACAGTCCAAGCCCAACAGACTTTGCTCTCAACAGTTCTACTGCTCTGTGTTACCTTCCTTCTCTGCTCAGGGAGCTCTTGACCTCTGGTGATAAATCAGGACTGAATCATAGCCATGGACTTAGCTGGACTCAGACTTGAGACTTCTCCCCATAATCCCTTGTACGAACATGCAGCTGTGAAAAACCATGGGATATAACAAAGGAGATCCTCTGAGTATATGAAGAGCATATTCTTCACTTCATTGGGGATTTGTGGCCATGCAGAAGGCCGTGGGGAAAAGAGCACAGCTTGCCAGTAACATACAATTACTAATTACTGCCCCAAGTCATAAAATCACATTTCAAAAGTCGCATGACAAGTCAGAGTGTATTGGCATAATGAGCCACGATTTCCTGTTATATGCAAAAGTCATCTTTTTGGGAGGAAGTATTTTGATGCATATTTTTAAAGTTAAAAATGTTATGTCATTGTTATTCTTAAGTATGGCCTTCAATGGCTTGCCGGGGAAACTTTCAGTTAGCTGACTAAGGTGTTCATCTCTATCCACGATATTAATTCAAGATGTCAGATAGTGAACATGAGAACAGAAACTACCACTAAGCCTTCCTCATGTGCTGGAGTTAGGAGTGCAGGATCTCAATCAAAGTGGGGAAAGTTTTGAAATACATTTTTGACTTGAGAAAACATCTCTCTCTGCTTAGTCCTTTCCTGGAAGTTGACCATAGAATTGCACTAGGGGACCTAGAGATTCTTAGGGCCTTTCCGCATAGCCCTATATCCCAGAATATCATGGCAGAAAATCCCACATCTGTTCACAACTGGGTTATCTGAGTCCACACTCAGATAACGTGGGGTTTTCTCCCTTGATATTCTGGGATATAGGGCTGTGTGGAAGGGCCCTTAGAGGAGAATTCTCTATCCAATGGCTGCTTAAATATGTTCTCCCTAGGAATGTCCTGGCCATCCAGCATGACCCTATTATTATTTTCCAGCAAGTGTTGACCATAGAGCACACTGGAGGACCTAGACATTCCTAAAGAGAACCTTTTCATCCAATCTGCAAATAATCAATTCCATAAAAGTGAAATCTACAAATATGGAGAGCCAACTATTTATAGCTCCTTTAAAGATGAAATTAGAATGAGGACATTTACTTTCCTACTACCATGAGAGTCAGTGGCTACTTATCTGGAAGTTACAGAATTAAGGCGGAGATACTGAGCAACTCCCTATCTAGATACAACTTTTGGCATCTTCTTTTTAAAAAAAACTGCTGAAAAAGATATCCAAAACACAAACAGGCTGCAATATTATTTATTCTTATCTATTTGCTAAGAAGGGTTGTTTTGCAAAAACATCACTACCAAGAAAGATTTTTCCAAATGGTCTTGTAATGTCTGAGTACTGCCTAGGCAACATATCCTATCTGATCCTGCCTAAGAAGGATCAGCCCTGGTTAGTTATGTGGATGGAAGTCCATCAACAAATGCCAGATATTCTGGGCTACATTTCAGGGGAAGGAACTTGCAATCCACTCCAGGTAAACAAAAAGATCCTGCCAAGAAACTCCTTTAACATCCACTTATGTTCTGATGCCCCAAGGTTTGATGAGATGCCCTTTTTTTGGAGTATTTTATATATGAGCCTTATTTATGTTAATAAACTATTTTTTATAATATTGAAAATAAACTCTATTGAATGTGCTATGTTCTAGGTCAGCATTTCTTAACCTGGGAGTTGGGAACCCTGGAGGGGTCACGAGGGGGTTCCAGACGGATTGCCAAAAACCATCAGAAAACACAGTATTTTCTGTTGCTCACAGGAGTTCTGTGTGGGAAGTTTGGCCCAATTCTATTGTTGGTGGGGTTCAGAATGCTCTTTGATTGTAGGTGAACTATAAATCCCAGCAACTACAACTCCAAATGCCAAGGTCTATTTCCCCCAAACTCCACTAGTGTTCACATTTGCCCCTACGAACCATCAAGATTATTATTATCATCTGGAGAGGCCCTGCTCTCGGTCCCACCGGCCTCGCAAGCGCGCCTGGTGGGGACGAGGGACAGGGCCTTCTCGGTGGTGGCCCTGCGACTCTGGAACTCTCTCCCTCTGGAGGCCAGAACCGCCCCATCCATCCTAACATTTAGGAAACGGGTGAAGACGTGGCTGTGGAGTCAGGCCTTCGATGAATGAGACAACACCATAGGACCCTGGATGGAAGTTGAGGTAGATCCGTCTTAATAGGACAACTGACCACTGTAGTTTTATATATAGTGTTTTTAAAGTTGTTTTTGTAATTGTGATATATGATATTTTAATTGAGTGTATATGTTTTTATGGCTGGAAACCAAGCTGAGTCCCTCAATGAGGTTGAGAAGCTCGGTATAGAAAACTGTGAAATAAATAAATAAATAAATTGTTTGAGTCCACAGTGCTCTCTGGATGTACATAGGTGAACTCAAAATCAATGCCCACCAAACCCTCCCAGTATTTTATGTTGGTCATGGGAGTCTTGTGTGCCAAGATTGGCTCAGTTCCATTATTGGTGTACTTCAGAATGCTCTTTGAGTGTAGGTGAACTATAAATCCCAGCAACTACAATATTCCCAAATGACAAAAATCAACCCCTCCCCCAACCCCACCAGTATTCAAATTTGGGCGTATCGCAAGGCAAGGCAGGGGCAAGGGCAAGGCAAGGCAAGGCAAGGACAGATCATATTTCAGGATAATCTGTTTTAACCTTGAGCGAAGCAGATGTTCTAAATTAAATCCAGTTTTAAAAAATACCTATAAAGTTCCAGAACTTGCCTGAAACCTTTTTCTGGTAAGTGGAGGAGGAAATGGAAGGGGGTGGGGGTGGAGGGAGGCTGGCAATGCCCTCCCACCCCTGCTAATCTTGGATCAGCACAACTGGGTATCTGAACACCACCTAGGCAAAATCCCGGGGTTTGGGCCAGCTGTGTGGCCTGTCTGGAAGGGCCGATAATTTGCTGGCATAGGTTATGAAACATCCTCCAAGTTTTTACAATTGCTCCATGTTGAGAAAGTTCCTTTTGATTGCTGTTGTTGTAAAAAAAAAGTGAAATGTAGCAAGCTGAATTCAGTTCTATGTGGTATTTCACACACAAAGAGGCCCCTTCTAAACTTCCATATAAAATCCAGATTATCTGCTTTGAACTCAATTATAGGCAGTGTAGACATATATAATTCAGTTAAAAGCAGATAATGTGGATTAGCTATGCTAATAATATAATATAATATATTGTATATACATATAATATTTATAATATTATAATGTAATACAATATAATGGTACTACTACTAATAATACAATATTACAATTATATATTTTATATTACATGTAATATTATTAATAATATTACAATATAATGGTATAGTACAATATAGTAATATATAATACTGATATTGTGCTATGCTAATAATATAATATATATATATATATATATATATATATATATATATATATATATATGTTGTAAGCTTCTCTGAGTCCCCTTCAGGGTGAGAAGGACAGCATATAAATGCCCTAAATAAATAAATAAATTAGCTGCTCTGACAACACTATGTAACACTATTTATTCCTTGGTTATAAATGTCATTTCTTAATTGGTTCCATCATAAAAACATGGAAAAGGATATCTTGCAGCACAAGATATCCTTTCTTGAGATGAGGTTCTATGAGATATTTCCAATGAATATCTCATAGAACCCCCAGTGGTGCAGCAGGTTAAACCGCTGAGTTGCTGACCTTGCTGACTGAAAGGTTGGCAGTTCGAATCCAGGGGGTGGGGTGAGCTCCCCCTGTTAGGCCCAGGTTCTACCAACCTAGCAATTCAAAAACATGCAAATGTGAGTAGATCAATAGGTACCATTACTGCAGGAAGGAAACAGCGCTCCACGTGACTTTGGAGGCATCTACGGATAACGCCGGCTCTTCGACTTAGAAATGGAGATGAGCATCACCCTCCAGAGTCAGACACGACTAGTCTTAATGTCAGGGAAAATCTTTACCTTTATCTCATAGAATCTCAACCAACTCAACACAGTTTTTGGCAGCCACAAATTAAATCTTCAGAAGTATAACAACCATTTTCAAAGTAACACAATTAAATAGGAAATAACACTTTGAAACTAGGAACAGAAATGTTTAAAAATTTTGTTACATAGTCTAATCTGGATTATATGGCAGTGTAGAAGGAGCCAGAGTTGCATGAATGATGCTGGGCCCAAGTGCAATATCACACAAATACATCCCTAAAGTTTTTATTAAAGACTTTGAGAAGTTAACCAAAACATAGATGTAATTGATTTGACCTGATAACCACCACGGATATCTTCCACATATGTAACTCATGATGCCTAATGATAGGAACAGCCTCAGATGGATTTTTCAATATTAATTTAACTAGGTTGAAGGTAGTATCAGATAGAAACACAACATCTATATGAACTGTCTTAGGAATTATTTCTGGTTGTAATACAAAGAGCTAAAGCTTGTCTGTTTTAGGTGGCACGGTCCTATAAAGCTGGGCTACATCCAATTTTTCCCCAGTAGCATCTGGTGACTTCTAAGTAAACGATTAAACATTATTTGATTTTCATCAGCCCCCGGTCACACAGTGGGTTAAATCCTTGTGCCAGCAGACTGAAGACTGACAGGTCACAGGTTTGAATCTGGGGAGAGCACGGATGAGCTCCCTCCGTCAGCTCCAGCTCCCCATACGGGGACATGAGAGAAGCCTCCCATAAGGATGGTAAAACATTAAAAAAACATCCAGATGTCCCCTGGACAACATCCTTGCAGACAGCAAATTCTCTCACACCAGAAGTGACTTGCAGTTGCTCAAGTAGCTCCTGACATGAAAAAAAATCCCAAACTTGAAAAGAGCTGTCCTTGGTACCAAACTGAGTTTCCTAAATATGTTGAGCACATGGGATACATCCTTTAGAGTTCTGTCTAAAATCCAGAGAAGATACACTGTCTCACTGGAATTTATTTAATGATTTGTTGAACGTATATCCTGCCTTTCTCTCAAACCGAGATCCAATGTGGCCTGGCACCTTTCTCAATTATAGTTTTACCCTCACAGGTTCTAAAGGTGGTGTATGCTTAATCCTAACCACATTACTGTATTTTCTCGAGTCTAGTGCACATCTTATTCCCAAAATTACCTGAACTATTCAACTCGTATGCAGAACGCATCATGCAATGTGTGGGGCTTGATTAATCCAAAGCTGGAGTTAAAATTGCTGGATGAAACAGTAACAACCTTAGGTATGCAGATGATATTACTTCGATGGCTGAAAGCGAGGAGGAGCTGAAGAGCCTTATAACCAAAGTGAAAGAAAAAACGAAAAAACATTAAAACAACCAAGATTGTGGCAGCAAGACTTATTGATAACTGGCAAATAGAGAGAGAAAATGTGGAGGCAGTGACAGATTTTATATTTCTACGCACAAATATTACTGCAGACAGAGACTGCAGCCAGGAAATCAGAAGACGTTGATTTCTTGGGAGGAGAGCAATGACCAATCTCAATGAAATAGTGAAGAGTACAGACATCACACTGGTAACGAAGATCCACATAGTTAAAGCAATGGTATTCCCCCATAGCAATCTATGGATGCAAGAGCTGGATGATAAGGAAGGCTGAGTGAAGGAAGATAGATGCTTTTGAACTGTGGTGCTGGAGGAAAATTCTGAGAGTACCTTGGACCGCAAGAAGATCAAACCAGTCCATACTCCAGGAAATAAAGCCTGACTGCTCAGTGGAGGGAAGGATATTAGAGGCAAAGATGAAGTATTTTGGCCACATCATGAGAAGACAATGATGATGGAGGGAAAGGAAGTAAAAATGAAGAGGGGCCGACCAAGCGCAAGATGAAAGTGTAGTCCTTGAAGTGACTGGCTTGACTTTGAAGGAGCTGGGGTGTGGCCACAGCTGACAGGGAGTTCTGGCGTGGGCTGGTCCATGAGATCATGATGAGTCAGAATGCATAAATAACAACAACAATTTCCAAAATTATGGTGCGCATCAGTATCAAGTATTATGGTAATCTAAGTGCTGAGGCAAAGTGAAAGGGGAAGTTGATTAGGAAGTGTCTGGAAGCTTGCAAACGCAGACCAGCTTTGGGGAAAAGAAGAGGAAAAGACAAAAGAGGAGGAAGTGACTTGCTTTTAAAAGATTTCCTGCCTGCTTTTTCCAAGGTTAGACTGAAGCCTGGCTGGGAAGGGATGAGAGGCTGGGAGGGAGGGAGGCAGAAAGAGAAAAGAAGAGAGGCGGCAGCTATTGCATAATTATTTTTTCCAGCTCCTTCATCTGAAATATAACCATTGAGGGTCTCCCTTTGAAATATTAACTAGCACTGCTTAGTTTCCAAGATCAGACAGGACTTTCCTCATCCCAGTTTAAAACATGCAGAATTCTGAGGCTTGTAGTTGAGTGAGACCCAGGACTTCTCTGGCTGAGAATGGAAAAAACCACTCCCTAAACTCCAAGCCCTGGGATCCTGCAAGAGACAGCTGCAGGATTGAAAGCAGGTGCAGGCTCCAAATCCTACTTTTTGGATTGTTGCCTTTAGAGTATTTTAGTCCTCAAAAATTCTTCCAGTAAGTCAGGGGAATTTTCCATGAGATTTGCTTGTGGTTCCCTTTTGCAGCTCTAAGTAGTAGACTTGTGCATTTGATTTGGAAATACCCTCGATTCGGTTCAAGTTCGGATGTTTAGCACTTTTGAAGTGAGTTCTGACATGCCTGCTTGTCCCCCCCCCCCCATATTAAGAATTTGAATCAAAAGGAACATTCGATTCTTAAGTTTCTGATGTGTTTAGATGTAGCGTGACAGAGCTAAAATTCACAGAGCAACCAAACCCTGCTGAGAGGCGAAGCCAAACATGTTGGCATGGCTCTCCAGCCAATCAGAACTGATGGAGGAGGGAGGGGGAGACAGAGGCAGAGGTTGATAAAAAATGTTGTTTTAAAAAACTTTGGAAATTCACCAAAAATCCGTGAATGCGTGAAACGTTATGCAATATGATAAGCAAAGCTTAGAAAATGTGTTCTACAATTGTAGCAAGTGTTGGGAATTATCCTTGTTTGTGTTCCAGTATCATGATGCTTCTGATGTGGGCAATGATGTAAGAAAGGATGAGGGAAATGATGATGCTGAGGCTGAGGTGCAAGATGGAGATAGTTTGGTCAATGATTTTCATGCAGACAATGACAGAGAGGCCCCAGTGCAAAGGGCAGTTTCTCATGAGAATATTCCTGCTGGGCATAGGGATGATGGTTTACTCCCTCTCTCTATGAGCTCTCAAGATTTGGATTTGGAAAACAATCTGACACCTGGAAATGTTAATGAGTAGCCAGAAATTGAGTTGAAAAACAGGAGGCTGGAGTTTTGCCAGGACTGACAACAAACTCAAGATTTACGTCACTCCGAAAGGCTTTGTCAGATAAGAGTCAAAGGAGGGGGGAAACGAAACCAGTTTCTGGGTTTTGGGATATAAGGTTTGCTTCAAGGGAAAACCTGTTAGATCAGGCATCGTTTGGAAATAAAGTTCATGTGCCATAGAAATCCTGTTTAAGGGGTCTGTTCCTGTGGGTGCTTCTAGCCTTTTGATGTTGACTAGCAGTGTTTGGCTTGTCTTTACATCTTGTTGATTCCTATTGGATATATAGTGCCTTGGATTGCTTTTATATCTTTTATGGACATTGCTTTTGAGTTACTGCATTTTACTGACCTTTTGCTTTTTGGAACTTTTCTATTTTCTTACAAACATTTCTTTCTACTGGCTATTTTATTAAGCTTTAATTAAAAAAGGATTTGTTTCTTCACTCAACGTGTGGTGTGTTTCCTGTCCTCGAGTGCAACAGCAAGTTCCACCTCAAGATAGAAAGTATTGCACTGTATGCAACAAATATATGTCTAATTGAATACTTAAATAAAATAAACAAAAAAATATGAGGGAGATAGGAGCCCCATTTATAGTGATTTTATTTAAGCCATATGCCTGTGCTAAACAACATTTCCCAGAATGCATTGGGCTGCAGCAGCAAATCATGGTGTTTAGTCTATAATAAATAATCTGCAAAGAGGACTAAAGTAAGTAAATAATAGTGTAAATCTGTGTCAAATTGTAGTTGTGGAGCCCCTGGTGGTGCAGTGAGTAAAACTGTTGAGCTGCTGAACTTGCTGACCGAAAGAGCTCCCGCTGTTAGCCCCAGCTTCTGCCAACCTAGCAGTTTGAAAACAAGCAAATGTGAGTAGATTATATGACAGTGTAGACTCATACAATCCAGTTCAACACAGACAGTGTGGATTACCTGCTTTGATAATCTGGACTAAATGGCAATGTAGAAGGGGCCATAAATTCACCCAAGGAACCAGAGGCAGGGTAAAGAGGACAGGCTCCTTGAGGGAAGGGTTACCTATTTCTCTGGTTTTCCTTTTGGTGGTATATATTACATACATACTGCTTTTCATGGGAAAGGAAATGCAGGAACACTGGTGTGGGCTTGGCCAGACAGGAATGACACAGGGTAATACCATGAAACAAAGGATGCAAAAGGCATCTGGCACAGCATCAATTTGCAATTGTTTGCTCCAGCTTTGCAGAATTCTAGTTTCCTAATCTTCCTGGCATATTGCAGTATGCATCTACAAGCTCTTACAAGTTCTTCGGGATGGGCTGAGAAAGACTTTAGGGATTATTGTTTGTGGTTAATGGTTTACCTACTTCTGCTCCTCCTGCTTCTATTTTCCCCCTTTTCTCCTTCTCTTTCCTTCTCCTCCCTTTCTTCCCTTCCCTTCTTCATCATCTTTTTCATCAACAATATCTTTGTTGTATAGTATAATATGTATTGTCGAAGGCTTTCATGGCTGGAATCACTGGGTTGTTGTAGGTTTTTTCAGGCTATATGGCCATGTTCTAGAGGCATTTTCTCCTGACGTTTTTCCTGTATCTATGGCAAGAATCCTCAGAGGTAGTGTGGTCTGTTGGAACTAGGAAAAAGGGGTTTATATATCTGTGGAATGACCAGGATGGGACAAAGGACTCTTGTCTGTTCCAGGCACTGCCAGGCAATCAAATGCTAATCAAGGTGGTCATTTGAAACATTCACACCTAGCTCCAACAGACAAGAGTCCTTTGTCCCACCCTGGTCATTCCAAAGATATATAAACCCCTTTTTCCTAGTTTCAACAGACCTCACTACCTCCTCTGTAGTCCTTCTGCCTGAGTCAGTCTGTTTTTCTGGTGTCAGGCCACTGAACCCAGCCAGGGCATGCAGTCCCAACTTTCCTGGTCTTGCAGCCTAAAGCCAGATGATGGAGGGCTCACAGCAAGAGGTTTCAAAGGGAAACACTAAGAATATCTCAAGTTCCTGTCCATTGGGGCACCAGATGATAAGGCAGGTACAGGGGAGATTATAAAAATAGAAGCTTTGTTTATGCAGAAGCAAAACCCACAGTAGGTCTCCATAATACCAGAATAATGCCACATCGATTCACAAAATGGGTAGCCATACAATATATGGCTAAACCACTCAGCCTCCGAACTTCTGGTCGAAAGGCTGGTGATTTGAATACAGCTGGTCGACATCCATCACTGGCTCTCCCTACCAAGTTCAAGGGGGAGACAGCTACTGTTCTGATCTTCAAAGGACAATGCCTCTCAGATTTGGCTGCCAGAGAAGCTGAATTTCCAACAGAGGAACTGAAGGTGGCTTTTATTTACAGTCTTCTTGAAGGCCCTGCTGCTTTATGGGCCACTACTCTGATTAATGCCAAAGCAGCTCAGGTAGATACAGGGCAGGCTTTTCTGGACTATATTCAAACCACCTGGGGGTGTCCAGTGACCCAGGAGTTGGCCAATCGTAAATTGCGTCGGCTGTTGCAACGGGACAGACCTTTGGCTCAATACATTGCTGATTTTAAAGTACTGGCCCCACAAGTGGGCTGGAATGATGCAGCTCTGCGTGGACAGTTTTTGGATGGATTGAATCCAGAGCTACAAGGGAAAGTGCTTCACGCTGACCTTCCTGCTTCCTTGGATGGATTAATTACCTTGCGTTTGCAGCTGGATAGCAACCTCCACACATGGCATCAGTGGGGCCGTGGGACTCCGGAGCACGCAGCCACTAAGGCCAGGAATGCCCCAGGCCCGGGTGTCCCATGGTAGCCTGCTCCACCTGCTGATTGCGGGGATGAGGAGGAACCAATGCAGTTGGGTCATGTACACCCCAAGATTGATGCAGCTGAGAAAGCCAGGCCCCAACGATTAAACCTCTGCTGGTATTGTGGGGCGGCTGGACATTTCTCTCGCGAATGACCTGTTAAGCGGGCAGGGAGCGGAGTGAGCTCTGGCTGTTAGGCCCAGCTTGTGCCAACCTAGCAATTTGAAAATATGCAAAATGTGAATAGATCAGTAGGTACTGCTACTGCTGGAAGGTAATGGTGCTCCCTGCAGTCATGCTGACCACATGACTTAGGAGGTGTCTACAGACCACGCCGGCTCTTTGGCTTAGAGATGGAAATGAGCACCACCCCCCAGAGTCGGACACCGGACATGACTAGACTTAATGTCAGGGGAAACCTTTACCTTTACTATACACACAGAGAGAGAGAGAAAGAGAGAGAGAGAGTATAGTCTTCGTTATCCAACATAAATGGGCTGGCAGAAAGTTGGATAAGTGAAAATGTTGGATAATAAGGAGGGGTTAAGGAAAAGCCTATTAAATGTCAAATTACGTCATGATTTTACAAATTAAGCACCAAAACATCATATTTTACAACAAATCGGCAAAAAGAGCAGTTCATTACATGGTAATGTTATGTAGTAATTACGGTATTGAATTTAACACCAAAAAATCACAATGTATACAAACAGCTATGGATCCGGGCAGGTGACAAGACTATATTGGATAATACAGAACGTTGGAAGAGCAAAGATTGTATAATCAAGACTCTCCTTTATGCATGTAATTGTGTGTGTGTGTGTGTGTCTGTCTGTCTATCTATCTATCTGTCTGTCTATATTCAAACAGACACACATTGTTGCATTGCTGAAAGATGTGGTGTCTGAACACAATGATTTTTAAAGAAAGAATTATAAGCAGGCAGCAACTGTAAAGCACGCTTTTTTTTGTGGACATATTATAAAGAGTGCAATTTTTGCCACTGTGCATTTGGCAGCAAATATGGGGGCTTTTTTGTTTTTGTTTTTTTGGTTTGAGGTGTACATTACATTTGCTGCTGCAGCAGATTCGTGTAAATATAGGTAGATTTCTTGAGCTATCTATTTTCCTGATTTGTTTCATACAGTTAATCTTTCCACAACCATAATTCGCATGCTTTCATGCAATATTAGATGAAACACAAATAGTGGAAGAGATGTAAGATGTTATCCTTCTGTTCTGCAGACCTCTCCTTTGCTGTTGAAAGACCATTCAGTACACAGGAGAAGCATTTCGTTCCAGACCATGGAAACTACTCCTTTCAGATGGAAGGCCTTTGCAGGCTTTCTGGTGATGAATCTTCTTATCACAGGTACTGATTGTAAATATATATTTCTACCGCCAGAATAGCAAGCTCAGCTTGTTTAGCATCATTGGACTGAAACCAAAACAGGGGCACTAGGTGGGTTATTGTGCTTGGATGAATCCCAGGCTATACTGCAATAAACACTGTATTTATTTGTTTATTTTTTTTTTTAAGGAAAGTGGTTGCGTGAGGTGTGTGAAAAATAGCAGGGTGTCTATGCTTTCTTGGCTGTTTTTTAAGAAACCGGATGGAAGTGAGTGAAATATTACCTTTATGTTGGTCATTATGTGGCTCAGGTCCAGGCTATTTGACCGATCGCATCTCCTCTTACGAACCAGCCCGGGCACTATAGTCATCGGAGGAGGCCCTGTTCTCAGTCCCACCCCCATCCCAAGCACGGCTGGTGCTTGCCTTCTCCATGGTCGCCCCTCACATCTGGAACTCCCTCCCTAAAGAAATAAAGTTGCCCCCCTCCCTCCTCTCCTTCAAAAAACAACTGAAGACCTCCTGTTGCTCACTAGCATAAGGAGAGGAGGAGGATTAGATGATCGAGAGATCACTGCCGGGTCTCTGGTTGAGAACTATTTCTATTTGGCCTTTCCTGGTCTACGCCAGCCCAATGATCTCATTTTACTACAGAACCAACCCACACCAGTTTTGAACCCTTGCTGGCTGTTGTAAACTAATGTGGATATTTTGTTTAGATTTATGTTATTGTAGAATTTTGCCCGACTACATGAAGTTTAATCTATTATTTTATTTATTATTTATTTACCGCATTTCTACCCTGCCTTTCTCTACCTGGAGAGGAATCAAGTAGGAAAAAACTCAAATCCTGGCTTTGGGATCAAGCGTTTGTGCAGTAAATGGATCAACTGGGAAAATAATCTTTTAGTGGGTCGCAATGGACTGATTTGAATTATGTTTTGAACTGGCAAACTGTTTTTAATTGAATGCTTATAATTGTAACTGTGTGTTTTAATGTATTGTTTTTTGGCATCTAATGACTGCCTGATGTAAGCCGTCCTGAGTCCCTCTTTGTAGGTGAGAAGGACAGGATAGAAATGCCCGAAATAATAATAATAATAATAATAATAATAATAATAATCCAGTACAACAACCGGCAAAAGAGTGATCTTGTCTGCTGTGCACTCATCTTGTGTTTCAAATAATAATAATAATAATAATAATAATAATAATACTGTCTGCCGTATTATTATTATTATTATTATTATTATTATTATTATTATTACAAGCCAGACATCACGATTATGGAAAATAAAAAAGTCTGGATTATTGATGTTGCCATACCAGGTGACAGTCACATTGAGGAAAAACAACAGGAAAAACTCAGCCTCTATCAAGACCTTAAAATCGAACTGCAAATGCTCTGGCATAAACCAGTACAGGTGGTCCCAGTGGTCATCGGCGAAACTGGGTGCCGTGCCAAAAGATCTCAGCTGGCATTTGGAAACAATAAACATCGACAAAATCATGATCTGTCAACTGCAAAAGACCACCTTACTTGGATCTGCGCGCATCATTCGAAAATACATCACACAGTCCTAGACGCTTGGGAAGTGTTCAACTTGTGATTTTGTGATACGAAATACAGCATATAGATCTTGTTTGCTGTGACATACTGTGCTTTTGTGTCAATAATAATAATAATAATAATAGGCAACCATACAAAGCCATAGGATATGTACAATTCCAAATATATAAAGAGTTATAAAATATGTTTAAACAGTTCAAAATAATATAAAACATTACATTATTGATGTTAGGTTTAATTTACTGATGTTAGGCTTTAATTAGTTTCATATGTGGGGGTTTTTCTGGGAGTTTATGTCAGTATTATGTGTTTTATGTAGCCATTGTATGCATGCTATTGTTATGTTGGAATCCACCCTGAGTCCCCTCAGGGAGATAGGGCGGAATGCAAATAAAGTTTATTATTATTATCATCATCATCATCATCATCATTATTATTTGAAACACAAGATGATGAGTTCACAGCAGACACTCTGCTAGCTGTTGTATTGGCTCACACGTCGGACACTTCCCAAGTTGTTGTTGTTGTTGTTGTTAGAAACACAACAAGATTAGTACACAGCAAACAAGATCACTATACTGGCTCTTGTATTGGATCACACGTCAGACACTTCCCAAGTGTCTAGGACTGTGTGATGTATTAGCGAATAATGTGTGCATATCCCAGTAGGGTGGCCTTTTGCAGCTGACAGATGGTAATTTTGTCAGCACCAATTGTGTTCAAGTGCAGACCAAGGTCTTTAGGCTGGCACCCAATGTGCTGATCACCACTGGGATCACTTTTACTGACTTGTGCCAGAGTATTGTCGAAGGGTTTCATGGCCGGAATCACTGGGTTGTTGTAGGTTTTTCCGGGCTATATGGCAATGTTCTAGAGGCATTTTCTCCTGATGTTTCACCTGCATCTATGGCAAGCATCCTCAGAAGCATCCTCACTACCTCTGAGGATGCTTGCCATAGATGCAGGCGAAACGTCAGGAGAAAATGCCTCTAGAACATTGCCATATAGCCCGGAAAAACCTACAACAACCCTTGTGCCAGAGTCTTTGCAGTTTGATCTTTAAATTTTCATATTGCATCAGCTTTTCTAATTTTTTCTCTTGAATCCTTCTGTCACCTGGGATGATGATGATGA